GTTCAGCAGTGAGTCAATAACGTTTCTAGCACCCTGGCCTCAATGCCAGCAACGTTCGTCGGTCTTCATATTAACCACACACTAGTGTAGCCGCTCTCTAAACCTCATTGTCAGTTAAAGCTACTCCTTCACCAAGAGGCAGTAAAGAGTAGTGGGAAGAGCACAGCCTTTGGAGACTCACAGATGTATGTTCCGTCATGCCTCTCACTAGAATTCCAGGCTCTAGTCTCTACCTAAACAATGGCGATCAAGCTACCTGCTTAAGCAGGGTGATTGTGAGGATTAAGAAAGAGAAAATCTAGTAGCGGGAGTATGTAAAGAATTCTTACAACTCAGCGATAAAAAACAACACAGAAAGTGGCCCAGGGATCCAAATAGGCATTTCTCCAAGAAAATATACAAATGGACAACAAGCCCATGAAAAGATGCTCAACATCAGTTACTAAAGAAGTGGAATCAACAATGAGACAACACTTCACATCAACCAGGATGGCTAGAATAAACAAGATAGTAGTGCCAGCAAGGGTGTGGAGAGACTGGAAGCCTCATGGATTGCTGGTGGGATTGTAAAATGTTGCTGCCACTTTGGAATGCAGTCTAGCAGTTACCAAAAGTTAAACACGCACCAAACGGGAAAGGGTGAGGAGGGATAAATTAGGAGTTTGGGATTAACATGTACAAACTACTATATATAAAATAGATAACCAGGACGTCCCTGGTGGTGCAGTGATTAAAAATCCGCCAGCCAATGCAGGGGAGATGGGTTCAATCCCTCGTCCGGGAACATCCCACATGCCGCAGAGCAACTGACCCCATGCACCGCAACTACACTGAGCCTGCGCTCTAGAGCCCGCGAGCCACAACTACTGAGCCCATGCGCCACAACTACTGAGTGCGCTCTAGAGCCCACGAGCCACAACTACTCACGAGCCTGTGTGCTACAACTACTGAAGCCTGCGCACCTAGAGCCCGTGCTCCACAACAAGAGAAGCCACCGCAATGAGAAGCCCGCACACCGCAACGAAGAGTAGCCCCCACTCGCCGCAACTAGAGAAAGCCCGCGTGCAGCAGCAAAGACCCAACGCAGCCAGATATAATAAATAAATAAATTTTTTTAAAATAAAATAGGTAGGGCTTCCCTGGTGGCGCAGTGGTTGAGAGTCCGCCTGCCGATGCAGGGGACGCGGGTTCGTGCCCCTGGGCCGGGAAGATCCCACCTGCCACGGAGCGGCTGGGCCCGTGAGCCATGGCCGCTGAGCCTGCGCGTCCGGAGCCTGTGCTCCGCAACAAGAGAGGCCACAACAGTGAGAGGCCCGCAAACTGCAAAAAAATTAAAAAATTAAAAAATAAAAAAATAAAATAGGTAACCAACAAGGACCTGTATAGCACAGGGAGCTACACTCAATATCTTGTGATAACCTATAAGGGAAAAGAATCTGAAAAAGAATATATACATATTCTTACATATATATGTATGTATAACTGAATCACTGTGCTGTACACCCTGAAACTAACACAACATTGTAAATCAACTATACTTCAATAAAAAAAAAGTTAAACACAGAGTTACCATGTGATCCTTCACTTTGACTCAAGTGTGCACCCAAGATAAATGAAAATACATATCCACAAAAACTGTACAAAGATGTTCAAAGCAGCATTATTCATAGCAGCTAAAAAAAAAGAAAAAGTGGAAACAACCCAAACGTCCATCCACTGGTGAACAGGTAAACAAAATGTCATTCATCCCGACAATTGAATATCGTTCAGCCCTAGAAAGGAGTGAAGTCCTGACCCGTGCTGTAGCGTGGGTGAGCCTGGAAAACATGATGCTCCATGAAAGAAGCCACACACGAAAGGCCACATGTTTAATGATCCATATAAGTGAAACATCACAACAGGCAAATCCATAGAAAACGAAAGTAGTTCGTTCCCAAGGAGAGGGAGGAATGAGTAGTGACTGCTAATGGGTACAGAGTTTCTTTCAGGTGATGGTTTGCAAATCTGTGGATATGTTAAAAGCCACTAAATTGCATACTTTAAAAGGGTGAATTTTGGATTTCTCTGGAGGTCCAGTGGTTAGTAGTCTACGCTTCCACTGCAGGAGGGCACAGGTTCAATCCCTGATTGGGGAACTAAGATTTCGCATGCTGCGTGGTGCAGCCAGAAAAAAAAAAAGGGTGAATTTTATGTGGGTTGTTTATCAATTTTTTTAAGTCTATGAAATGGCATAGTTGTGTGCCTCGCATACAGTGGGCACTCAATTACAGTTAACTATTTTCTATATTTTGGCTTCAACTGACTTCCTATCTGTTTCCCAGCATTGTCATTCAGATTCCAAGATGTATTTAATACCATTCATTCCTTCATTCAGCGTTTTATTTTTATGTGCTTTGTACATCCTAGAAATTGTGCTGGATCTTAAGTTTATAGAGAATCACAAAAACAGTGTTTGTGCTCCAAAGGTTGGTGGGAAGATGAGTGCTGTGGGTGCAGAGGACAGAAAGCAGAAAAGGTGGCTTAAATGAGGTAATGTTTGAGCTGAACTTAGAGGTGATTTTGGAGTCAGAGGACTGGGCATTTCAGGTGGAAAAAGAAGGTGCAGGGCTTCCCTGGTGGCGCAGTGGTTGGGGGTCCGCCTGCCGATGCGGGGGACACGGGTTCGTGCCCCGGTCCGGGAAGATCCCCCATGCCACGGAGCGGCTGGGCCCGTGAGCCATGGCCGCTGGGCCTGCGCGTCCGGAGCCTGTGCTCCGCAGCGGGAGAGGCCACAGTGGTGAGAGGCCCGCGTACCG